AATTAGTGGTACTTAATCATTTAATTACCTTTGCCTAGGTTCTTTGTTTAATATAGAAATTCTTTGTTATTTTAGTTTTTGTTTATCCTTTCAGACAAAATGATTGTTGCTGAGTTGCATAAAAATACTGTACAAGCTGTAACCATGGGTCTTAGCATATTAAAAGGAATTTTCAATTAAATTGGGGCAAGAAATTATTTTTTAAAAGCACAATCATGGTGTCAAAATTAATGATTAGATATTAGAGTGTAGTTTTTCCCACCCACCCCATTAGCAAGCTCTGGTTTTAAAATGACCTTTTCCAATTTGAATTGTTTTTAATTTCATCTTTTTAATGACAATAAATGAAATTCCCTCAGTGTTTTGTGGTTGATTTTGTTGTATAAATTACAGCCTTATATAAGCTTAGTTATATGCCATGATATTCAGATTTGCTCAGAACAGATTACCCAATACAAATGTATTATTGAATTCATATTATGATATTCACAATAAGATCTCATCCACAGAGTGAACTAATATTATAGCTAGGGCTCTAGTGTAGTAGAATGTTTTAAAATAAGGACTCTGAGTCCATATAAATATTAATTTGTGAAACCTAATACCTACATAAATATGGAAGAAGGGAACATGCTTCCTCATAATAGATAACAACTCATAAGTATTAGGAATGATGAGGATAGGAAATCAACATTTTACAAGTATAAAAATAATAATTCTGATTTTTTTTGAAATTTTGAGTGGAAAAAATGCCAGGAACCATCATTGGAATGGGTGGAGGTTTGAGGAGGAACAGGATATTTTTTAGTGTTATGACTCTACAATGATGAATACAGTAAAAACAACCTTAACTGAAGAGTCGAAGATAACTTCATCAATAATAGAATGAATCAATATTATATACCCCCTGGTATTATGCCCTGAGAATATAACTATTTCTGTCAAAATATATAATCAGAAAAACTTCAATAAACTCCATTATACAAAATAACTAGCTTTTACTTTTCAAAACTGTAAAGCCCATAGAAAAGGAAGGCTGAGAATTAAAGAAGACCGAAGAAACAGAACCTATTGTAGGTTGTAGTTCTGGACTAGATCCTAGATAAAATAGCTACTAAAGATACTGGTGAGATGGAAATACACTGGACTTTGGTGATGGCACAAGGGTGATTTGGTGATGGGAAGCCCAAGGGGATTACAACTGAGATGGAAAAATGCCCAAAATAATGGAAAAATAAACTATTGAAAAGAGAGAAAAAAAAGATACTGGCAAAATTTAACTATGAACTGCTGATTAGATAAAATTACTATATTTTGTGACAATGACAAATGTACTATACTTATGTAAGGAAAAAATCCTGTCCTAGGAAATATATACTACAATATTATGGTAAAAGGCATAATATCCATAAATTATTTTCAAATAATAGGTGTATTATTGTATATAAATGGAAAGAAAATGAGGCAAAATATTAGCAAATTAGGAAATGTGGAAAAATATATACTATCTTCTATATACTTCTCTTGCAACTTTCTAGAAGTGTGAAATGATAAAAAATAAAATAAAAAAGGCATTACAGGTCACTAAGACAAAAAGTTGGACCATTAAAAGTGATGGCATGGCCCTCCCTGGTGGCACAGCGGGTTAAAGTACAGCACTAAGAAGCTAAAGCTACTTCCTCAAGAGTTCCATCCCCACCTGCCCCGAGAAGCTAAAGCCACTTCCTCAAGAGTTCGATCCCCACCTGCCCCGGAGGTGACCACATGGTGAGGCAGACCTCTCCTGACCCACCTGCTGCTCCCCTCAGCAATGTACTTCATTGATCTGCCTGTTCTGCTCCCCACTCTGTCTCTGGTGAAGACTCTCGCTGCCCCTGAGCTTCTGGCCTGTACCCAGAACAGGGTAGATTTATTTATGCACAAATAAATAAATCTTTAACAACAACAGCAACAAAAGTGATGGCAAATGTATTTGGCAAAGAAAGATGCTAATATTGTTCAGTGAAAAAAGTATTAAGACTCACCCTCTCCCCATCTTTTTACAGATAGGTGACAGATTAGGTGATAGATAGGTGATAGATAGATAGCAAAATAGATAGATGATAGATAGATAATAGAAATAAATCCGTGAAAGATATCATATTAATAAATTATCCCTTTGAGGTATGAAAATGGGTGACATTATTTGTTTGTTTCTCTTTATTTTCTAACTTCCCTAACATGGAAGTGAATTGAAAGAAAGGTTTTCTTCTAGTGAGTGAAGTGCAGTGGGTCCCTAAGAAGAAATACAGCAAACCATTCTGAGCCAGTGGAAGTCCTATTTTGTTCAAAGACAGAAAAAGGCAATTTATGATCTTCAGATTTGCTTCCTTTCTCAGTATTCTACACATAGTTTATGTTGTTCTCCTAGGCAAATATGCTTTACTGCTGTTCTGCTCACCCCTTTTCATTCATACATACCGTCCTTAAAAAAGAAGAGACCACCAAACAGACTCAATGTTGTCTATACAACTCTATTTTCTTATTTTTTGCAAGCAGCTCTGCCAACAGCTCCCCAGCTGATTTTCATAAAAAATTCTGCTGGTAAGAACTCCTCTCCTGGACCTCAAAGCCCAGAGTGTCAATGGCTATTTTGTCATCTTCCTGGAGCACCAGTTGTACTCAGATATAGGAAGAAGGTGATAAAAGTATAATAAATTGTTACATTATATAGCCAAATTCCCATATATTTTAAAAGTAAAGTGAAAAATAATTTAAAACTTACAAAGCTTAAAGCAAACCTTTCCACTCTAACACTTAGATTTCAGGAACGTGTTCCTTTCTTACTTGTCTTTAAGGATTTTCTAATGGAAAAGTTTGAGAAGCAGGGCTCTAAGACAGTCACCCATGTTGTTGTTCCTCTGGTAGCCTTTCATTCTTTCACATCTTACTAACTGAGTCCTCACCTCAGAGAGATATCTCTCACAACACCATCTGCTTAGAAGGGTAGGTAAATACTGTACAATTTACAAGCGATGGTGTTCTTTTAAGCACTGGCATTTGAAACATTCATTACTTAAAACACACAAGCTAAAAAGGAGAAAAATGATTATAGACACAATGTAAGGCCAATCAATTGCTTAGTAATAGGACCTCAGTACAAAGTGAGCCCTGGAGGTAGCCCAATTAAACTCTCCTGGCACTACTAGAGACCTGCATTTTCAGGATCAATTTAAAATGTCTAAAGCCTGCCATTGTATACACTTAAGAAGAAGAGCACAATAGAATAAGATACATAAAAGAAAAAATCCTGGCAAAAATGGTTTAAAATTAGGCTATTTGAAACATAGACTATTGTCATTTATAGTGGAAAAAGAGGTACAGTGTCCTGAGTTAGTTTTAGTAACTAGCTCCCTTAGACTATACAAATGAACAAGTTTCAACAATAAAAAGTAATCTAAACTAATGGGAGAGTGACTCGTAAGGCAAATAGTTTTGAAAGAAAGGAGTAGTAACTAGGAAAACCAATCTTCTGCCTTAATGTTACCTTGTTCAATTATTATGCAAATATTTTACTATGTCCTTAATCTTTAAGATAGTCTTTCAACAGAATAGGGTCCTGTTTTCTCAGTGCTGAAGACTGGAATCTGTTTCTAAGTGACAGAATTATTGCAATGTAGCGAACATATTTACTAGCAATGAGTAAAGCAATATTTTTTAAATTATCAGTTCAATGTGTCACTTTAACAATGAACCATGTTCTCTTCCTGATCTAGTACCATTTGTTTTACGCATTTTTTCCCCCTAGGCTCTCTACTTTATCTGACTTGATTAAAATCAACTCAAGGGACCAAAATCACCTCGTTTGAAAGCAATCAAAGGCAATGATCATATAAAATCCTGCCTTGATAGTAAGCACTCAGGAAAAGTGTATTGGATTAATTTGCTGACCTGATAACTATCATTCCTTGAAAGGCAAAATATGGACATTTCGTTACAAGAAAGTAACCTTATCTAACTACATAGGAAGTATAATTAAATGGATCTCCTTAACCAACAACAATAAAACTACAATTAAATGAATTCTGTTTGCTGGGTTCTCAGAACCAACATGAAATAAGACTTTGGGGCAGTCTCTGAGAGAGTCAGGAAAAACAACCAATTTTTATTTAGTTCCATGCATTGTATAGCAAAAGCACAAAATAAAGTGTTTGATGACTGTAACAGAGACAATGAACATGCACCTACAATAGAGATGTAGACTCTATTCAATTCACTCCACAAACATCCCTAAGTGGTCTGGGAATATAGTAGTGAACAAAGCAGGCAAAAATTCCTGTTTCCTGGAACTTCCCAGTTGCAGTGTAGAAATATTAGATAAGTAAAAATACATAGTATATTAATGGCAAATACTTAAGAGAAAAATAAAATAGGAAAAAGTATGAAATGTTGAGGATGAGTTGAAAATGCAGATGGAGTGACTGGGAAAGAACTCCCTTGGTAAGGTGATCTTTAAAGAAAGTGTTAAGCTGTGGTGCTATCAAAAGGAAAAGCATTCTACACACTGTTGACTGTATGTGTAAAAGCCCCGAAGCAGGAGTCTGAATGCACAGCAAAGTGGTCAATGTGGCTGGCCAGAGTGATCTAACTTAGGTTTCACAGCTGGCTGCGATTTGGAAAGAGGCAGCTGAGAAGCAAGGACTGAAGGAACTATTTCTTTAAAAATATAGATTCTGAAATTTTCATTTTTAACAAGTTCCCCAGGTGATTCTTATGCACAGTAAAATAAAAAAAATGGCTACTTTGAATTATCTAGGCAATTGAGACAGAATTTGATTTTTCAATATGATTATCTGATAATAACTAATCCACTGCTCCATTTTGCCTGTGGAGAAACTGGGTCTGAACCATTGGGTTAAATTCAACTAAAGTCTATCAAATTGACTGTGCAATATCCAAGCAGTGCTTCAGAGAGCGAGAGCTCCAAAGGGATCTTCCTTTTGCATGGTGACCCAGATTACCCTCTAAGAGAGCACTTCTGAAGGAAGGAAACTAGAGCTAATGCAATCATGAGGTGGTGGTGGTATGTTTGATAAACTGACAGAGTATGTAATACATAAATACAAGCTTTAGGATTTAGCTAAAATAGATCATATTGAAAGGGAATTTTTAAAAAACAGGCTTCACTTTCTTTTTAAACAGAAGTTATCCACATGAGTCATATCAGAACATTTACATATACCTATGACATTTATACTATTTTCCATATATTCAAAATTTTTATTAAAGAATATATTCTAAATGTTTATCTAAAAATGAATTCATAAATATTGGTTTTTAAATATACTAATAAAGATTAATAAACACAATAATTTAAACTAATCTTTCTGATTGAATTTCATAATGATAATCACTTGTAAAGAACTTTAAGTTGAAATAACAATAAAGCCCACAAACCATATAAAAATGTCTTTTACATACACAATGCATTGAAATACACAGAACTATCTTAACTAGTCTTAACTAATCTATAGTCTATTCAGTAACAAAGAATATGTCCTACTTATTTTGTATTTCTCATACACCTATGGGTTATTTTATATGCCTCTTCTGAATTCTGCACACCCAAAGGTTTACAAGTTAATGTTAACCTGACCATTGACTAATCTATAATAATGCAACACTAAAGTATAACTATCAGATATTTTGTTCCTCCTCTTATTTGAATTCCTTAACTCCTTCAAAAACATAATCTAAGAATTCCAAAAGGGTAAAAGCTTTATAACTTAAATATAAATATACACAAGTGAATTTACTAGATCAATTTATTATTTCATAAAACATTAGCATCCTGCTAGTACTTTTCCTTGGTTTTATCTAAGGCATTTCATACTTATGGCCTAATTTGAGATAAATTTTCTAAAAAGACATATAATGAACTGAATCTCTAGAGATTGTTAGCAGTATGATCAGTTATCTAGGTACAGGTTATGGTTTTGAATGGAATACAGGTAACTAGTTACAAATACTGAGTACTAATTACCTTGAGTGGAAGAAGTCTCAAGTTGTTGAAGTTTAAGGCCATTGTCTAATCTTTGAGGTTTTGTATATAGAAATAAATAGCAAAGGACACAGACGCTGATGACAAATGCAAGTAAAACAAGGGCAGCAATTCCCAGTCCAATCAGGGCACCAACGCTGAAAGCAGAAAAAGCATTGTGACAATCACATAAGCTACAGAGAAGGTGTCAATATCCCTTGTTTGCAGTCATTCATAACCAAGTTATATTTAATATAAACAGCTTATAAGTGAAATCTATACAGCTCAACAATTTCTACCATCAAATTCTTATGTTAGCTTCTTTATACATTTATGTTGATATGAATATAGAATATTATGTGAATTCATATTATAAGCAAAGATCACATTATTCTCTGAGGATGAATTCCAAAAATCTCAATGAAATAATCTTCTGTTAAAATATCTTTTAGAATAAAAGATCAATTTTGCTAAGATGAATAGAAAAATACTTTTGTAGGAGTAGTGACACAAATGTTCGCCAGAAATGTTAAACTTTTCTTTTGGAGATCTGTATGTGAGATGTCATTAACTAGTATACAAAATCACAACAACTGCAAAAGAGAACTTGAACTAAATAAAAAATTTAAGTAAAGTTCAACTTCAACTTGAGTTTTTCCTTTCTGAAAGACCACAGCACCAATGACTTCTAGCATTAAGGAAGAAACTCTAAAAATAAACAGAATGTCTGGTTTTATTTGCTCTGCACTAATTTGTTACAATTCTTTTCTGATACCGTTGCCTATGCGGATAATTATTTGAGAAATAATATAGTTGTCGTGGATCTGTGAACTGAATACTTGTAAATAGAAAGGAGAGTCTGGAAAAAGAGTTACTGTGAACCACTAATGTGAAAACATCTGGACTTTACCTTCTTGAGCCATATGCATGTTCAGATGTTGTAAACATACAATCAGAGTTCAGGCTACTCAAGAGCATATACTTCTACTGACTTTCATGCACACTTACTTAAAGTGTTTGATAGAATGCTTAGCTATACTGAAAGTTCCATAAATTGAAGTCAGTAACAACTGAGTAGTGACTGATCCATTTGTTATAACTGAAAAGTAATCACAGTAGATAACTAATGGTCATTGGCATGACTATTAAAAAGTAATGATATTTTTCATTACCTTCTTGATTTGTCTATACTTAGGCTTCTGTTGTTTTGCCCAAATCAGGACCCTGACCAATTCAAAGGGTACCAAAAGGGAGGAAGGGGAGAATTTGACCAGTGATGCTAGGTGCATTATCCTTTCATTGCTCTGGGAGATAGAAGAATTAAAAGTTGAGGGTCTAACCTCACCCCACTTGTCCTTGATTTGAGAGACAAATCATCCCTGAAATTTAAAGATTGCCTCCTGAACCACAGATGTGGCTCACAGTTCTACTTTACAAAATGTTGTTTATGCACATGCGCTTTATGTGTATTCTTATACCTGGTTTATTGATGTCACTCAGTGCCCCCTCCCTGCCTACAAGTGAAGATTCAGTTATCTGGTAAGAGCCAGTATGTAGCTATTTATTTAAACAGAGCTTGCCCATTCTAGCTGCACTCTCTTCTTGCTGACTGTGCCACCAAAACTGAATTTTGTAGACTGCACATGTCATAGAGGTTTAGGTCTACACTCAAATGCATGGGAACATAATTTGCTTAACATTATCTGGCATATAGAACAGAGAGAAGGACAGTTATCTGGAAAGATTCCTGAAATAAGAATACAATTATTTTTTAAATATTAGAAGTAAAATTATTATTTAGTTAACTAAAATAAATAAAATAAAATTTTCCTTTAATTAAATCCAACATTCATACTGTTGACTTTAAATGTGCACAATTAAATAACCAGGAAATTTGGTTTCCAGCATACAAATTCTGACTTATGTTGTAAAAGGAGGTTTTCATCATCTTGACAAATTGTTTCAATTTTACAGTTCTACTTTATAGAAATGTTGTTTTATATGGGCGCAACTTTACATACAAACTCCGAATAAAGATGGAGTTCCAGGAATCACCTAACATACTTCCCCATTTATATTTAGCCGTATGCGATAGACATTATTCTCCTAAATCCTGAGGAAGGTAACCCTAGGAGGCTAGGGATTCATATGAAGAGACACAATGGAAGTGTAGCAGACACAGAAAACAGAATTATCCTTTCTTCACAGCACCATATGGCAGTTAGCTTTCCAAACCCCAAGAGAGGGTCTTAAGCTGCCACCACATGACTGTGGCAGTTCCCCTACTACAGCTTCACTTACCTGGGAGCAGCTATAGCTATACCTAGCAGCAGCCGCAGCATCTCAGAACAAATGCTAGTGGCTTCTGATACCTTGTTTTGCAGTTGGACTATTTTAAATTAGGAGCAGATACCAAAGAATATGAGGGAAATGAAGCCCTAATTTGTTTTTTTTTAACCTCCCTCGTTGTATTCTCAGAGCTCTTTAAGTAACAGAATTCTAAGATGTAAGATGGTCAGATAAAAGCACCAGCTGAAATAATTTTTCTATTTCCTTAGAACTGAGTTGCACCTTGTCTGTGTTTCATGAGGACCCCACCAAGTTGTTTGCTACTCTGTGCCCTCATTAACCTTAGGGAGGCTTATATACTTACCACTTTGGAACTATCAGGGATCGGAGAATCCCAGACACATTTTCCAACTGAGTTTGTCTTAGAGTTGCTAGTCTGTGTTGGAGGTGTTACCACCATTATTAACACCTCCGGAGACTCAGAGCTAGGTTACTGTTATTTTCCAAATGGCCAGATGATAGGCCAGTGCAGTACTTCTCAAATGACAAGAATACAATTTCTGACATTTTGCCCCAGTCTGGTATGCTAGAAAAGGCACACCATTTTGTGACTTGAACTTGTTAATATGGGGGGGGGGGGAGCCTCTCTGTGAGAATGTCTTCTCTAGCGATCTTGTGAAAAAGTTTGGGGGAGGGGGGGCACTTTGGGGTGCCCACACATCCCCTGATGTGGGAAAG